GCCTGCTCCCCGCTGGCAAGTGGACATCCCCCGAGGGCTCCTGGGCTGCCAGAGGGATGTCTGACTGCCATCTTAGGCCCAATACCCTGGGGAGCAGACCTAAGCCAGCAAGGGGTCATCCCCCGAGGGGTCCCAGACTCCGAGAGGGCACAGGCCGGTCTTAGGGATGCCCCCCCGAGTGCAAAAATTTTTGTGCACCGGGCTTCTAGTCCTATATAATAGGCAAATTGACTCAACAGTACCTGACTGGTTGCTATGATGCACACTGACCACCAGGGGGCAAATGCTCAACACAAGGGCTGTCCCCTGGTGGTCAGTGCACTCCCACAGGGGGAGCACCACTCAGCCACAAGCCAGTTTGATGACTGGAGAGCACAGCTGCAGTGGCAGGAGCCTCTCCCGCCTCCATGGCAGTGCTAAGGATGTCCAACTGTGGCTTAAGCCCACTCCCCGCAGTCAGACATCCCCGAGGTCTCCTGGTCAGTCAGACATCTCCCCTGAGGGCTCCTGGACTGTGAATGGGCACAGGCCGGGCTGAGGGACTCTCTCCTACCCCCTCCCACCCCCGCCCCGAGTGCACAAATGTCATGCACCAGGCCTCTAGTTTTGTATAAATGTAATCATATGGCATGTGGCCTTTTGAAATTGGCATCATTTACTTAGCATCGTATTTTGAAGGTTCATCCATGCCATACCATCATGTAACAGCCCTGTATTCCTTTTTATGGCCAAACAATATTCCTTTGTGTGGCTGTATCACATCTGTTGATCCCTTCATCAAACTGATGGGCTCTTGGGCAGTTTCCATTCCCCCGGGTCTGCTGGGTTCTTCTTAGTCTAGGCTGGTTGGGAGATGCGGAGGACATGGTGGACAAGGCCGACTGTGTCAGACTTGCTGGGGCCCAATCATGTAATTACCAAAACCACTGTGGGTCTCTTAGTGGACGTACAGTATGCTGAAAAAAGGCTCCCTGAACTCACTGGTCCGTGGCCCACCCTCCTGCTCACAGGCTGCTCTGCCCCTTCTCACCAGCTCTCCCCCTTCCTCCACACGCCGGACCTCATCTCTTTCTTCTGAGGAGCCTTCTGACCCTCTGTGACTCCTCAGCCGCCACCTACTGTCCCTCCCTGTTTGTAACTCCCAGAATTCACAGTGGGTACCAGTGCTTTTCCCTCTGCTTCCCTGTCGGAGTCGAGATAGCATCTTTCCTTCTTCCTTCCATCCTGCTTCTCTCACCTGTAAGGTCTCGGTAGACCCGCCCTGGCCAGCTGCACAACCTGGACTGTGGGCCCGGAAGCAGCGGTGCCAGGCAGGAGGCTCACACACCGGAGTGCGTCTCAGGCCTGTGTCAGCTGGCCAGAGACAAAGGTGACGGGAGATCTGGCTCTATGGCGGTTTGTGGCGTGCCCACTGAATTCTGTTCTGTGTCTCTCTCCCTCTCCTCCCTGCCCCCCCGCCAGCTCTTCCCAGGCCCCCTGCAGACCCTCTCCAGGAAGATCGTGCGGTCTAAGATGAACAGCACCCTGGTCGGGGTGTTCACCATCACCCTGGTGTTCCTGTCGGCTTTTGTCAACATGGTGGGTGGTTCCACCTCTCCGGCCCCATTGGGTGAAACCAGCGGAGCCCTGCACCCCTCGAGCATGGGCTGGAAGGAGAGTTTCCCCCAGACCCTGGAGTTCTCCCTCCCAGGAAGTCATCTTTGGGTCCCACCTCAGGTCTGGGATCAGGTTAACTCCTAAAGCCACTCCCGGTCTCCGGAAGTCCCCAGGGGATGTGTGGGAGCCCCGCCCTGGGCGCAGGCACTGCCGGGTCCTCAGCCTCTTCCAGGCTCCTCTCCTGTCCGGGGTCGGGATCAGGCTGCACCCAGGACCGAGAGTGAACAGGAGCCCACTGCCCTGTGGGGATGGGCCGCCCTGGCCTGGCTCACCGCTGACTCTCCTCCCACCCCCAGTTCATGTGCAACTCCCAGGACCTGTTCGGCTGCCTGGCAGATGAACACAACGTCAGCACCAGCCAGGTCAACGCGTGCCATGTGGTGGAGTCCGCCTTCAACTACAGCCTGGGGGACGAGCAGGGCTTCTGCAGCAGCCCCTGGCCCAACTGCAACTTCCCCGAG